CTTTTTTTTTGTTTGTTCTTTTCTCAGCACTCTGTAAGGAGACTTGAGGCGTTTCTGCCTGTATTGTCCCCCACAGTGATTATCAGGGACTCCTTGGAGTTCAGCCTTTTCTAAGTAAGGCTGCCAGCAATAGCCTGAAGCCCCAGTTCATTGTTTCTGGGGACCGGTAGCTTTGCCGTGAGCTGGCTGTGAGAGGGGTACAGAATCTTTCCTGGAACACATTCATCTAGCTCTTTAATATAATTAAATCCCTTAAAGGATTAAAAATCCTATGGCAAACACACTTTATGTCCCATTTATCAGTATCCTCTGAACACTGTTTCTGCCTAAGGGATTGTATACATCTCTGTAGCATCTTGGGAAAGCCTTTATACAATAAAGGATTGAGTAGCATACAGACAGGCAATCTGTGGAGATCACAGAAAGTTAAAGTGAAGGTTTTTATTTATTCTGGCCTAAAAAGGGGTACCATAATACTGTGGCTTCATGGACTATTTGCTAGTATCTGAACAGGCCACCTTCCTCTTTTCACAGTTCCCCTGTTTTCCCAAGACAGCCCCAGCCACCTGGCAACTGTGACATTGACAGGACACTCAGCTCTTCTGGGCTGACTTGCATTTCTCACCTATGAAATGGGAGGTCTGGACCAGATGAACTGATCTCTGAGATGTTTTGTGACAGAATTTCTTCCCTCCTGGGCAGTTCTTTCATGCTCAGAGCAGACATAGTTCCTTCTGATATCCCTAGCATGAAGATCTTCATCCTAGCCAGAAAGAGCCTCAAATTCTGGGGACAAATTTAAAGGAAGAATGAGTGGCGAAAGCAAGCTTCAAACTTACATCAGTTCCCAGAGAGGGCTGGCCACGCTCCTGGACAGACGTCCGCTGCCTGGCAGCATGGTTGTGGTCAGGTCTACCAGGCTAAGGCCGTGAGGCTGTGCCAAGGAGTCTGCAGCTGTCCAGTTCCACTCCCTTTGAACAGTAAGTTAAGGAGGCACAGTGCGGGGTGGAGGGGGGAGGAAACACCATCTAAAAGTATACAATCATTTGCAACAGAACCAAAACAGATTTGGAGCTCCCAGTCATCTTACATGGAAACTTTTTTTTTTTAAATAGCCTGGTTTTCTCCAGGCATTTTGCAAGGCCTTGATAGGTAAACTTCAGTGGGACTGTACTAAATTATTTCACCCAGGAATGTAGGCCTATGGCCCCCTTTTTACTTGTTTACTGGTCTTTTCGTTGGGTTTTATGGAAGAATTTTCTCCTCCCCATATGTTTTACTGTTAAACCAGCTCTCTGTGGAGCCACATGGCTAACAAAGTAGGGACAAAGCTGCTGCCTCCAGAAAATGAGGATTTGTAGGAAGAGGGGAGAAATCAAAACCCGCAAACCTGTGCCTGCACTTAGGCTGACAAGTGCTCCTGGAGAGTCTCCTGCTCCCTCTGGACCATCTTGATCTGGGTCACGTGGCCTCAGAGCCACTGGACCTACTTCTGGAGCCTTGCATGACCCCCACTGCCCTGCAGCAGCCATGACAGGCCCACCGCCCCTCCAGCCCAGCTCAAGCAAGTGAGCTTGCCTCCTGCCAGCAAATGACAAGGCCCTGGTCTCCACTCTGCCTCCACCCCATCTAGCGGCCTTGCTTCCCTCTGGTCCCATTCCATCCCCCATTCCCCTGGGTCCTCCCGGCATCACTCAGTTTCTCTTCCCAGCCTGGCCACCCTTTCTCTTCCCATGTAAGCATGCTCAAGTTTCATCTTAAAAGGAAAAAGGCTCATGTCCCCTGAGCCTGGCCCCCATTAGCTCTTTCCCAGTCACCTTTCCATCATATGCACAAGCTCCTCAGGAGGAAGTCCTAGGCTCCTTGTCTCCACTGGCTCCTGCCCCCACCAGAGGTTACCAGCAATCTCTCTGTGGTTAACCCTTGACACCTTTACATCCTGGGATGCTTTGCAATATTTGACCCCGCTACTACTTCCTTCTTGAAATTCTTTGCTCCACTGGCCTCCATTGTCCTCTCCCAACTTACGAGACTCTGGGCCCTCTTTCCACCCTCTCTCTTAGCCTCCACTTCTTCCCATCTGTCTTCTAAAGGCCAGTGTTCCCAGGATCCTGGCTGCAGTCCTCTCCCCCTGCACCAGGGGAGGCACCCACATACAGGTTTACAGGCTTCCTCTTTTGTAATCCAGGAAACGAGCTCCTCCTGCAGGCTTTCTTAGCAGGTTTAACGAAGATCTGTGTGTTAAATGTGTTTGGCCATCAGTAAGTAGTAAACTGCTAGCAGTTTAGAGAATCAGAGAGAGGGAGGCTCCTGATTTGGTCTTGGGACCCCATGGAGAGGCTGTGGTGGCACAGGGACCCTGGACGCCTATATGTGAGATGTGGACTCGTGGCTTCGGTCTCAGCTCACCCTGTTCTCAACGGACTCACCAAAGAAGTTAGTCTTTGCTGCTCAGCGCTGGATGGCTTATTTCCCCTCCTCTAGCTCCCGCCAGTTCCTGTCTTCACCACCAGCCCAACTCCGAAGTGGAGTAGGAGTGGAGGGTTTCCTAAAAGGAGCATCACTTCCGCGGAGCAGGACGTGGAGCCGACATGGGCACTGGCAGAGGAGAGAGGTACAGGAGGGCCAGCTGGGAGGCTGTGCAGGAGACTCAGTCCTCCTCCACCTGACCCTTGTCACTAGGTGCTGTCTTCAGGTCGAGGGATGTCACCAGCCCAAATGCCAGGGCTCGGAGGCAGTTTGGACCAGTGGCCCTACAGATTCAGTAACAGTTCAGTGAACAGATGCTCCTTGCGCATCTACTCTCCCAGCATCAGATGCTGGGGATACTAAGGCATTGAGCCCAGCAGGGTCCCTGCTGTCAGACAGCTGACATCCTGTTGACCAGAGACAGACCAAGGAAAACGAAATGAAATAACATCAGATGATGAAAGAGCGATGAAGGAAGTACAAGAAGGTGGTGGGATACTGAGGCTAATCTAGCTTGGGAGGGCAAGAAGACTTTGCTGAGGAGATATTTTGTCTCCTCTCTTCTGGGAGGGGAGGGAGAGGGAAGCCTGGGATTTTGTTTAAAAGAGCACCTGGGGAACAGCCTGCTAGTCACGTGACCCATTCTGTCCCCTGGTTACTACTGATAGCTGAAAAAGCCATGCAGGCCTGGAGGCAACTGATGCCTTAAAATCCCTGTGTAGTGTTCTCGTGGTCCTTCTCAAACAGTGAATGCAAGTAAGGTTTGCCAAGAATTTGGGGTAGCTAACACCCCCCACCACCCAAATTATTAGCACTGGTCTCCATTTACAGCCAGGTGGACCGAAGCAGCAAGAAATTTGCCTGCCTGAAGTGCAGATCATGACAACTGAGAGGAACCCAGAAGTTCTCCCTTGGAGAGTTAGAATTCAGACGGGAACTTCAAGCAGGAGTGGAGACAGCACCCCTTCCCCACCTGACCTTTTCACCAACATAGAGGAAAAGATGAATTTTCAGAACACATGAGTGAAAATATTCTTAACACGAATGTTCAGCACTGTAAGGCTTATTAGTGTTGAATAGAGTATATTTTCTGCTTTAAAAATGGTTTCATGGTCCTACCGTTCATCAACAAGATGCCAAAGCACTTCAGTTCTATTCTGTAAGGAAAGGGGGAACGTTCTTTACTCAGCCTCCTTTCCTCTCCTTGAAGAGAGGAGACGAGTACCCCCTCAGAGAAGCCTTCTTGCCCTCCTACTGACCTATCATTAACTTAATGCGAAGTTAGGCCTGTCCAGACAGAGGAGGGTTAAACCAAGGTGTGGCAGGGTCTGGTTTATATTTTGGAAAGATTTCTCGGGTTGCTGTGCCCAGAGTAGGGAAGCAAGAACAGAGGCAGGGAAACCAGTTAGGAGGCAGTGGTCCAGGTGAGGCCATGGTAGCTTTGAACTGCGGTGGCGCGGTGAAGATGAGACTATTGAATTCGGGATAAATTTCAGAGGTAGACCTGGCATGTGACACCTGTTCTGAGTGGCAGTTGGCAGAGGATGGCCGGGCCATGATTCATATGGAGGGCCACCCCACTTAATGTGCTGGACCCCTGAGCAGTGTTAGCAAGTCCTATGGGATTCACAGCTGGAGACCACAGTGTTGTTCACCCTTTCATCTGAGTAGGTTTGGGGTCTTAGTCACACGAGAAGAGAAGGGTAAGGTTAATCTCCTGATATTCGGGGAAGACATGATGAAACATAATGGCGCTGCTACTTATGCTCAGTGGGAAAGGGAGATGACCTAGTCACAGGATGCTATCCAGGTACCTACTGGATTCCACTGGGGATGTGTCTGGAACTTTCCCCAAGTCCACCCTCCTCAATCCCTCATGTCAGAACTGTGTCCTCTTTAGATTCTCCCCTCATCAACCCAGGTCCTGCTGATCCTCCCCAGTACCTCTCACACCAGTGCTCTCCTCTGCAGGGACATCACCTGTTCTCCATCTCCCATCTGTTTGTTCACTTTGCTTCTCTCCAGGAGCTGAGGTTCCCTCTGGGAAGTGGTGCCAAGGAGGCTGGGAACTCCTGGGCTTAGCCTTGTTTCCATAGTGCCCAGCCACCCTGCCTGGAAGATGTGGGTTTCTCCTGGTCTTCTCCACTTCCTGCCTCACTGCTGGACTGCACAGAGGATGAAGCACTGGGACATGCAATAAACTGGGATTTGCAGGTCCTGAACTCAGCCTTTCACTCAGGCCAGTCATTCTGGGCTCCCATCGGCAACAGCAGTAGCACCTGGGAGCTAGAAATGCAAATTATCAGACCTAAAACTAGACCCACTAAATTGGGAGTTCAGAGGGTAGGGCCCAGCTTCTGTGTTTTAATAAATCCCCAGGTGCTTCTCTTCTTTAAAAATTTTTTTGTGATTTTCTTTTCCAAATCAAGCACTTTTATTTCTTTATTTTTAAATTTTGTTGTGGAGGAGAGGTAATTAAGTTTACTTACTTTTAATGGAGATATGGGGGATTGAACCTAGGACTTCATGCATGCTAGGCATGAATTCTACCACTGAGCTATACCCTCCCTCTCCAAGTGTTTCGGATGCACAAGGAAGTTTGAGAACTACTGCTTCATCCATGTGCCTGGGATTCACCCAGTGTTACCACTGAAAGTCTTGAGTCCTGGAAACTTCAGTCCCCGACAAACCAGATGGTTAGTCACCCCCAGCTTTAGGTCTTGTGTTTCATTTCCTGATGCTGTGAAACAACACCCCTTCCCCCAACCAGAGTGACCTAAAACAGTATTATTTTGTTAATGAATGTGCAATTTGGGCAGGGCCAGCCCATCTCTGCTCCACTCTGTGTTAGCTGGGGCAGCTCAAGGACTGGGGTACAGCGTCAGCAGGTCTGGCTCCTGTGCTGAGACCGGAATAGTGAGGCCCTTGACATCTCTGGAGACATGTGGTCCCTCCAGCTTGGTGGCTTCAGGTGTAGATGGCCTACCTGGATCCCAGGGGGCATGTCCCAGAGAGAGAATGCAGATGGGAAGTCTCTCCTCAGTGAACAGCACTTCCAAAGCAGTCAGGCTCCCCAGATTCCAGGCATGACGTCACCATCCTGTGGTGGGAGATGCTCACCCCTCTCCAGGAAATCCACTCAGCCACACCTTGTCTCCTGCACCAGCACAGAACATTCAGAGAAGGGAACTCTAGCCAGCCTGAGTCCATCCCTCCTCCCCTCTTCCTTCCTCCAACCCTACAAAGTCCATTGAGCACCTACAGTGTGCTACGACCTGGGGCTGGAGGCTCACATTTCTCTGCAAATACATTTAATTTTTAACAAGTCAGGCTTGAGCTCCAATCCTGGGAGCCTGGGACAGCTTCTGATGCTGGAAGAGGAGCACTTGGATACTCTAGGTGGGCTTTGAAAAAGGGACAGTGAGGGGGTGGGAGAGACAGGAGGGAGGAAGGGAGGGAAATTCTGCTGCTGCTGCTGCTGCTGCTGCTGCTGCTGCCACTTTGAAGCTTTCCTGGATAAATGGGATTTATCCCACCTGGATGAAGGCTTCAGGGGTTTCAAAGCACTTGCCCTCACATCACCCTATTTGATTCAAAACTGACCACTAGAACAGTGGCCATATCACAAATTTCAATTTTCCCAGTGTCTATTTCCTACCTGACAGCGAACTTCTTCCAGAGACAGGACTATCTAGAGCCATCAGGAACCTTCAGTGCCCAGCAGAGAGAATCCTGGTCTCATTGGGCCCCAGGAGCTGAGTTCCTCTGCAGGTACTGCAATACGGAGCGCCAGCTGTCTTGCTGTAGTTTCTCCCCGACCCCGGCCACCACAGGCACTTTCTAAACTTGTATGAATTAGAAGAAACAGCTTCTCCCCTGGGTTGTCATCTATGTCCCACAGCCTGAATTTCAGCCCCCATCATGGCCAGAGCCCTCAGGCAGGGCTCTACCTGTAAAACCATGAGTGCATGGTTGCTCTGCTCCCCACAACCTCCAAGGTGTATAAGTAAGGCAACTGGCACCTTGAAAGAATCTTCACCTATCTTCTAGGGTCTAAGGAGTCAGACACTGGAACTACTCACTTCCCCTGCAGCAACTGGGGCTTCGAAGCCCAGGCCTCATTGTACTGGCTTTGGCGCCATCTAGTGGACATGTCTGGGCCTGCAGCCCTTTCTGTAGCCCAGAAGCAAACCCTTACCTGGTCACATTGGTGCCTTTGGACTTCTGAGTCCCAAATCCACAAATCCGCTGCTCTCCCACCCGGCTTGGCTACAGTGGGGTGCCTGCTGGATGCCAAGTCAACACTCCTTCTCTTGAGATGGGCAGGGACTCACACTGAGACTCTCCCCCCAAACCCCAGCCCTGTACTCAAATGTGTGCACGAAAGTGGGCACAATTAGAGCAGAATGAAACAACCCAAATGTCCATCAGGATGGTGAACACTGATTCTATGGACCATCATGCAGAGGCTAAAAGGAGTGTGCTGCACTGGAAACATCTCCAACAAGCATATCAAAGAACAACACACACAGCATGATTCCAGTTACTAAAAGAGACCAACCCAAACCTGACCTGGGGTTTACACATCAGTTTGAAAATGTATGGGAGGACTGGTCAGGACACAGGTCTTGGCAAAGGGGGAATGGGGAAGGGTGGAGGAGGCCTTTCCCTCTCCACACCCTTACTGTACATCTTTTCCAGTCTTAAGAGGTAAATAAATAAACCAACAAAACCCTCCTGTCGCCAGCACCTGAGTCCCTGCTGCTCTCCCAGGTGGAGCAGCCTGGCCTGCTGACCCGACTCCTCTATCCCCCCACCGTCTGGGGCCACCAGCCTCCCAGTACCTCTGCTCCCTTCCCATCGGGGTGTCCTCAGCCCTCGGCAGCTTCTTCCTCTTACCCCTGACAGTTGAAACTCAGCTCTGGCTGTGGTGCTGGCCCCTTCCCATGACATCATTTCCAGCCAGGAGGGCCTTTCAGAAGCTTATGTGGTCCGGCTGCTCCTGTTGAAGACCCTTCACAGCTCTCAGCAGCAAACACTTGGTGGGTTGCCAGTGTCTTCCCATCTGTAGGTGATCCCCATTGTGTGAGTTGTCATGGGAGGCAGGGCCTTTCCTCCTATTTCAAAGGCCGAAGGGGTCTGGCTATCCCCTCCCTATCTCCTGGGCACCTAGGGTGCTGAGCCCAGACCCAGGCTTGTGCAGTAGGAGCTCCCCCAAGAGCAGCGATCCAGGGACACTAGCCTCCCTTCACCGCTGAGGTGCCCAGGGGTCCAGCGCTCCCATGACCCTGTGCTCACAGCTGAGGGACCACCTCCAGCAGTCCTGCCACCCACCCAGACTCCCTTTGTCCCTCTTTGTTTTCCAAGCCCTGTTCCCGACTCCCAGGCAGTCCTGGAGCTTCCAGTACCCTCCTAATAACTCCTTTAGGGAGTCCAGGTCAACGGTCACAGGTAACTAACTCTTCCGCAGGGGATCCTGATCAGTGCGATAACCTGTGGTCCATGCAGCGAGGGGCTGCTGGCGTAGCAAGAAGTTGCATCAGAACCCAGATGTTTAGTCAGGGGATGCAACATTCTAAAGGCAATTTCCACAACCACAAAAGATGATTTTGCTGGGTTTTCAAGGTATTTAGGGACATAAGAGGCTTGGTGAGCTTTCACTTGGGCCTTACCTGGCCTGGCAGGACAGGCCAACCATGGTCACCACCAGGGAGCACATCTCAGGGAGGAGCTGGAGAGACCAACGGCAGGCCCCGGGCAAACATTCGCTGGTGACGTATCTGCGGTTACCGCTGTCAACTGTTACTTTTACAAGCAGTAAGTTCCAGCCCTCATTTCACCCAGTCTCTGCCCTACTCTCAAAGGGGCCACTTCCCAGGTGCCCTCACCACTCTCTGGGACCTCTGCCAGCCCTCAGACCCTCCTCAACCGCATCCCTGCCCAGCCAACCTTCTCCAACCCAGACACAACCTGGAGCCTCTCTCCTCCAGGTGGCTCCTCACCGCCCTGCAAAGCCTCTGGGCTGACAGGCTCAAAACAAACCCCTCAGATCTCTCTGGTCCGCGGGAGCCCACACAGCTCAAGTCCAACCTCCATCCTCCATAGATACTTAGATATTTACTTATTGAGCCCCTACCAGGTGCCAGGATCTGGAGAGTGCAGACAGAGGTCTTGGTGGGGGCTCCCTACTCGCCCACATCTCCCGGCCTCCAAAGTCTTCCCGCAGAGCCCGGCTTCTACTCCTTGACGCACCACCTCCCGCTGCTCCCCGTGCGAGCTGTGTCTGTCCCGCTTCGGTCCCTGGACTGGAAGGCAAGGCACGAGCGCTACGCTCACGGAATCCTCCCCTTCCCTGGTTGGGCTGCAGCCACCCCTCAAGTAAGTGTCTGTCTTTTCAAGGCAGAGTCCTAGGAGCTAGGACCAAATCCCCAGCAGCAGTAGCAGCATAAAATTACCATCTCCCTGTTCTGATTTCACAGTCCAGAAAGTGTCGCCTCTGCCCCGGCTCTTCAAATAAAGGCGTTTTTGTTTTTTTTAAACCAAACTGCCACAGCGACTGGGGCGGCTCTTCTCCGCTCCTGAGCCTGGGCCACCCCAGGACAGAGGCGCAGGGCGGGAGAGTGAGCCTCCCACGTCCGCGGGAGGCTCATGTTGGCCCGCAGACAGGAGTTCTGGACCTGGCCGCGCCGTGTGACCCGAAGCCGTTCACCTCCCCTCCTGGAGATTTTCTCGGCGGCAGAGGC